TGTACACACGTTATTTGTAGAATGTAAAAACGATTAGTTATTGATGAATTGCCATTTCAAACATAAATTAATTGCTTAATGTGTTGATTGCTTTGAAATGTAATTTTAGTCTAAAGTATGATTTGCTGGGTTGTAACATTTGTATTTATTTTATAAATTAATCTTAGAATTAGCAAAAAATTTCAGATGCTAGCGTTCATATCAAGTTTTTAGGATGGATGTCATTGAAAGTTATGTACCAGAACAGAATTTATTGGACCAAGCGGCTATTCTGTTGTTGGAAGCAGCTGAGTTTTTCAGATCTCATGTTCCTCCGAAATATAAATTGGCTATTAAATGTTTAAAGGTTTGTGCTTTGATTTTATTAGTGTCTTTAATATTTACACAATTTTTTACCGAATATAACATTTTTTTATCATTTGTTTGGATTTGTTTCTTGTTTTTTGATCGTTTTTATCACATATATATTCAATTATGAATGATTCTAATGTGCAAAGCAGTGAAAACGTAGCGAGTTAGCAAGAAAGATTGACATTAGATAATGCGGGATATTGTCACAATTGAGGTGTCATTCATTCTGGGGTATTATTTGTGCTTTTTTGTGTGGCAGTTGAATGTTCGATCAGTTATGGGTACAGAATGACCATTTCTAGTTTGTTTCTTTATTTGAATTTCCATATTTCAGGCATGCTTCAAAACATCGATGACTCATGAGATGATATCATATGTAAATTTTCAAATTGGAAAAATGTACTTTTATTTTACCAAAAATATTGAATTGGCTAAACTTCATCTGGAGCAAGCAGTACGATTCAGTTTTTATCCTTTCAATCAACAAAGATATCATTCATTAACTGCAGAAAAATTCTCTATTCATGATTGAAAACAAATAAACTTATTCTTCAATTAAATATTAATGATGCGAAAATTTTGTACTTTATAAATAGTTTTAATAAAAATAAGCAGTCTTAACTTCATGATGTCAATGATAAAAGAAAGCAGGGATTTTTGTCATAAATATTTACGTCTTTTTCTAGTACCATAGTATGGAAGAGCTAGGTGTTGAATATACAAGATATCGTCTAGAAATAGCCTGCTTGATTGCTGAGGTGTACATGCAGCTGAAAATTCTCGAACCGGTAAAGCAGCTGTTAAGAAAAGAATCTGTATATTCTCGTGAATTCCCACTCATCCATGCACGTCTTCTGTTTCTTCTTGCGGTATGTGTCGTACTTTAGTCTACTGTAGTATCTATTGTTTCATCAAACGAAATAAACATAGTCTTCTTTAAAAATTTGAAGTGATTTCCTCGCAAAATAATTGTCTTTGCCAGCAGATACATGAGTTGGACAAAATTAACAGTTTTAATGTATATTGCTATGGTACCAAAGTCACATCTCATGGATTTAGTTTATCAACTTTATATATTCCTTTTGCTTTGAATAAATTGCAATTCTTCATCACTCGCATTTTAATGAAATAATCGATTAACTTATAATAAGATAATCATTGATTTTTCTTGAAAACATTCAAATCGATAACGTATTTCAACTACTGATAATAAGGCAAAGAAAATTTGGCATAAGTTTCATGGATTTGTTCACTTAGTGGACAGTAAATTATGTTATTACCAGTTGCAAATATATATTGTTTCCTTGTTCCTTTTCGCTCCATTGTACTTTTAATTTGATCTGACTGCCTCTAATTTCAGGAAATTTATGGAAACATGAATGATTGGAATAATGCGAGTGAAGTGGTAGAAGTGGGAGCATCATTATTTGATCAGCTTGGTGATCCAGCTTTGGAATGCTATTTTCGTCTTTCATCTGCTATGGTAAACCTGTAGCAATAGTTTTATATATAAATTTGGAAAATATGAGTTTAATTGTTATTATAGAAAATAAAGAAGTACAAAGCATTTACTCGATTAAATGATTATAAATATTTTTCCATGAAGTGTAGTTTTTTCGTTTCTAAATATTTAAGTAAAATAAGAAAAATCTGCAATGATGAGCGAGCATATTAATTTTAAAATGAAAAACAAGTTGTAGGTGCTGATATGTACTTTTTTATGTACCTTTTCTAATTTTTTGTTCTTATAGCTTAAAAGCTGTAAAGGTAGAGAATTTAGAGAAAAATGATACACTTTTGAAAAAATATGTGTGATGTATCTGAAAAAATTATTTTAGAATTATTGTAATGCAAGGTTGATTGTCACCAATCATTTGTGTAATCTTTTGATCGAATCTCGTAATATTTCAGATTATATCAATGGATTTAAGTCGAGAAGATGAATTAATGAAATGTATAATGGAAGTAAGCGAGAAATTGGTTACTCTAAATGCCGACAATGCTTGTTTGGATTATATCAAAGCTTTCTGCTGCACCGTTCAAATTTGTTTTTTTATCTCAACTGGTTTGGTTAAGTTTTATTAAAGATATTATAACTCCTTGTTTTGAAATTTCATTAGATCTATGTTATCAAGTATAAAGGCAGAATATTATGTTATTACTAGTTGTAAATATTTGTTTTTATTTGTTGTTGAGAAAAAAATTGTATGATTGACAAAGAAATTGTTGGAAATTAAGACGAATTATTATGCATCACAATAAGTTAACGTTATGTTAAAAAATTTTTAATTTGGCTTCAGAAACTGCATGGTTTAATTCCCACACATAGAAGCGCAGAATTTGAACCACATAGTCATTAAATATAAACATTTTATGATTTGAAATTATCAAATTCATTTTTAGTTGATAATTTATTATCGAGTTACTTATTTTTTCGAAACTTTTTAGTTGAAAAGCACGAAAGTTTGTTTGCGGCAGTTACAAACTTTAGTCCAAACGATGAAGTTATCCTATGATGAGGTTGATCAAGCAGCACTTCCAACTTTTGATTGGATGGGGAAAGAAGCATTGGTTGCTCTTACTTATGTGCTTACAGTCATACAAAGTTTGCAAACGTGTCAAATTGAAAGGTTATTTAAAAGCAAGTCTAATGTTTGCTAGTTTCTGTTATGCTTCCAAGTTTGTAGAAACATCAGTGCATATTGAATGAATGTAGAGTGTAGGATTATGTGAAATGGTATGTTGCTTGTTTATAAGTTTCTTCTCTGAAGTTCAATTCCACAGATGGTGGTGATGGGAGCCAACTTACTGGGCATGGTACGCATGCTATGATGCGTGTGCTTATCAAATCAGTGTTGGCAAGAGTGAGTGGATTGTTAATCACAGATTATGTCAGATTTATTGACTGGTTTGTTTCAAGTATTCCACACAGTTGTCTTCATTAATTATCTCTACAGAATCGAGTAAAGCTGAAGGTGGTTTTGTTATATGTACTGATAAGTGAAGTAAGGTGTGAATGTTTGTGTCTTCATTGGTTTTGAAAATTTAAGTCATCATACGGTTTTCAAAGATATTATTTGGTGGTACAGTTTTTCAAATTTCAACCGTTCAGAAGGCTTATGTAATGGCAAACTTTATTGTGTTGTGATTTATCTGTATTTCTGGGTGCACATATAATTACTGTTGAGAGACGAGAAGATCTAGCCATTTACTAATATATACAGTTATAAATATGTAACTAAGTGTACATATCCAAAACAGTGAAAATAAGATTATTTTTCTTTTCTTACTTTTATTGACTGCACATCGTTTTCCAAATTCTAAAAATTTCCCGAAAATTATATCCCATTTTCATCGTGCATTGTTTTTTGTCTCTGAATATTGTGAAGTAGTATTTGTGAAACTAAAACGTAACTTATGGTAGTCATTTCTTTCTTCATCTATATGACTATATTTGCGACGAATTTTATGCAAAATCAGATAGACGATAACTAGCTATTATCAGATGCCTAGTAGTAACGTGAAGATTCTTTAATTGATAGACTTCACACTTGTTAGATTTGCCTTTCATGAAATACGAAAATTTTTGTCATGTGCTGTGCATTTTATGCAAAATTTCTTGAAGTTTTAGAAAACATTGAAAAAGGCAGAGAAAAAATAATTTTTTGATAATTAAATATTAATTGCAGTTTGATTGTAGAGCGCATAAATATCATACGATTGCTATGCGACATATAAGCGATATGCGGCGTCTGATGGCAAAATCAGAGTGGCCTGTAGTTAAACGTGGATCATTGGATTCTTTGGCTGCTTTTGAAATTGTATTATTGGAGAATATTTCTGCAGCACAATTGATGCTTGCGCGACCAATAGATACTATAAATGTTGTACGTCAAATTTGTGTATTTGATTGACATTTTTACGAAATTTCTTCAAAACATTTCACGCAGTGGTTACAAATTACAGGTTGGATCCTGTGAAATTTCAAAATTCTCTGTTTAATGATATTTGCATTCATTATCGGTTCGTAAGGACTTAACATATTCCTTTTTTAGGTGAACACTTGTTGTCCATATTTCCTCTTCCAGTGATCTTGCTTTGCAATACAAGATTATTTTATTTACTTGAGAAGGAAATGTGCTCAATGGAGTTTTTTTTTAAATTTTGCAGAAAATTGATTATATTTTTGTTTAAATTGCAGTTAGGGCATATGATGGAACGGATGCGACAAAGCGTGGATTTATTCAATCATTTTGAAGCTCAACTTCATACTCTTTTAGTGAGTTTTTAGCCGTTGTAACAATAATATTTTAAGAATTAACCAGAAACAGATCATGGATGGATGACGTTTGTTACTACTGCATATCGAGGGCTGAAGTCGTCTTGTTTCATAATATTTTAATTGATTTACGATACTTTAAATGGAATATTATGAACTAATGATTGATATTCGGACGAATTATTTACACCTTCAGTCAAGATATCTATTCGTTTGGTTTGGAGAAGATACAAATTATAAACAATTTAAAGTCAATTATCTTTGTTCTTTTCATTAATTTAGACATTTTCAGGGTATGTATTGTTGGTTTGTGCATCTACCAAATGAAGCAGAGCGACAGTTCGAGGCTGCTCTACGAGTAAAAAATTTTGATAAATATGTTTCAGTATATACATATATGTAAGAAATTACTCATCGTTTACTACGTGCCCCCCTATAATACAAAAATATGCTGTTGTAGACAGCCAAAGATACAGAGTCGTGGACGGTAGTAAATTTAAGCTTGGCTATCTTATATTTGATGACTTGCCGCGAAGCAGATTTTTATGGATTATTCGAAAGAATCACGCCTGGTAAGCTGCAGTCTAGTTCCCCTCTTCTCAAGGCTTCCGCTCATTTTGTTCATGCTTTGCACTCATATTTGCATTCCAGGTTGCAGGAAGCCAAGTAAGTGATATCGCTAATTTTCAGCCTTTCATTTATTGTCATCTTAAACCGAAATATTATTTGAGGAAAATCAGAAGTTTTTGCCTGATGCAGGCGAGCCGGATGACATTTTTAGTTAAAGCAATATTGCTTTAACTATTGCTGTTAGAGCATTCTTGAGTTCTTTCATATTACATACTTTCATGTCATTAGAAATTAGAATGATGGCAGAAAAAATAGGCATATGTCTATAGATTCTAGTATGTTGAAGTAATTGTGACTGTTTTCATTGTCTTTCAACGATAAGGATTACTGGCAAATTTCATGAAAGTTGTCAATTTTGCAGAAGTCATATCACAGATAGTGTAACAATTGTGCGTGATGAAGGTGTTCCTCGAATACAAGCTCTTGCAACTCTTCTGTCTGCAAAATTAGTTGCTGTCGATGTACCTGATATGCTCGTAGCTGCTAATAATTTCGCTACAAAAAGTTCTGATCATTCCTTGGCATTATGGTTGAATCAAATTATATATGGTAAATTCAGATTAATACTCAGTACTTTTTTTCATTTACTTGAACTTTATTTTCTTATTTTTCTGTGGAAGTCTGAAGTTAAATTGATTAAAAGATCTGTTTTTCGTTTTTTTTGTGAAAAAGTATGGCTAATTTTTAGAAACCCAAATGCAATACGGACATGTTGAGCAGGCGAAAAGTGTTAAAATGAAATTCGATCAAATGCAAGCGCATATTTCACAAGCTGTGCAAGATGCTGTCAATTCACAAGCGCATTCATTAATTCAGGTTGTCCCTATTTACATGTTTTAAGTTCAGCAACAGAATATTGAGTATAGTCCAAGTATAGCTAATGAACTTAATTTTTGCTTAGATTTTGGAGTGAAGTAAATGTTTTTTTGCAAATTATTTTTTACAGACTTAACGATTCCATTTGTACCAATATTATCTTAAAGTAGTTTTGGAAGATTTTAATTTGATTCTGTAATCACGTAACAGATATCCTTAATTTTGTCTTTTACTGCACACATATTTTGGTAAATTCTTGGAGCTACATTACAGATAATATTTTCAATCTTTATGAGTGTTTCAACTTTTCTACTGTTGTAGAGTAGTAATTCGAATATTGATTTCTACTGATTGTCATTACAATTCATTGATAAAATAGGAGTTTCTGAAGTAGTAATCGTGAAATTAGTGTTGAAGAACTTATTTGTTTCGATAGATAGAATATTATTCTAAATTGTTGAAAGATGTGCAGTAATTATTTTTTCAAATTAAAAATCTCTGATTTGAATAAAGTTGTCAGATGTATGAATAGCAAAAAAAGTTGATTACACGATTATTTTGGTGTTTCATGCGTAGAATAACATTTTTAGTGGGAAGGTGGCATAGAAGCGTTGCAGTAAGCAAGAAAATAAACCAGTTAATTGTTGAAACCGCCGAATGGATCACAGTAATCGAGTAAATCTCGTATCTCACATCCAACATCACAGCAGATTTTCTGTATTTCTTTTAGCGTTGCTGGTCGCATTGCACTATAACCTGAAATAGAGTAATGATTTGAATATTGATTTTTCTTGTATTTAAACGAAAATTTCCGTGTTAGCATCTTCTTGATGTTCATTTAATTATGATGACGTGTGAGTACGTTATGTATACTTTTTTTACAATTTTTATTTTCACAGCAAGTTGTGATATGTTTCAATGATTGGGCATGGAATGCGCTACTCATTTGTTTATACGCCTCAAAATTAGTGAATATTTGTTTAGAAATTGTTGATCACTGTATGCATTGTCTAAGTTATTCGGTAAGTAGTGTTAACATCTTGTATATTACTGTTTATTTTTATTTGTAGCTAAGTAGTGTTAACGTCTTGTATATTACGTCTTGTATATTACTGTTTTTATTTGTAGCTATCTTTTATTCACTTATTTTTCAGCCTATTCTATTCCACTCATCGTTTTATCTGGTTTTAGCTTTTCATTTTATATGTTTTAATGAAATATTTTAAAGTATTTAGTTTCTTGTTTTAATCATTCAGAAGATAAATAAAATTGTGGATTTTTTTAGGAATTGATTTTGTGGTTCAAGATTAAATTCAGGATTAAGGACTGATTAAAAATTGCAAGTAAGCAATTAATGTATTGTTATTACGTCAATTATATCTTGATTAATTTTGGGATTAAATTTGTATTTGCGAGTTTTGCATCAACAGTTATGGATTGTGGTTTCTGCTATTTGATGGGAATTAAAAAAATAGTTTTGAGACTTAAAAGAGCATTTCAATTGCATTATAGTGATCTACTTTCTTTTAGTGCTCAAGTTAAGGTTTTTTAATTCGAAGTGAATTTTGTATAAGAGCATTGGAAATGATTTGTACCAAATTCACGTTTTCTACGACGTCGCTTTTTCATCTCGCATGCCATCATATAAGCAGTTGCAAATGAATGACCACCAGGAGGACATAATACAAGGGATCCGAAATGCTGCTCTGCAATGATTCTTGCGTTAAGGACAAGAACATGGAAGTAGGTGATATTTTATGAGCATGGAAATGGTGGCTTTAAAGCAAAAAACATCTAAGAATTTAGTCATACTTTTTGTTTTCGTTTTTTACAGTAAAGGCATATGCGAAATAGGAAATCGCAAGAAAAATATGTATCTATTCGTACTTATGCAAAAATGTGTATGTTCAGTAAATTCTTTAAAATTTAGTGGTTCTCCAGAGACGTAGATACTTTATAAGCCTTACCATTTTCTCTCACTAAGTTTGCTTTAGGTATCGTTGTTACCATGCTGTTAAGATACATGGTACCATCTCAGTGAATGTGTTAGATATAATTTGTTGATCAACAACAGATTATTAAAAAGTAATGTAAAGTTATTATTTTAAATACAAGATAAACTAACCTTCCGATGTTGAGCCAAGACAGAGGATCAAAAAACAAAGCGAGTAAGTTGGATGTGCTAATCGCATTTTGTTAAATATAGCTTTAACATCAAATGCCGTTTAATGCTACCACTCCTGACAACATTTACACCAAAACCAAGATTTAAAATGACCTGGAATCAATAATAATCTGAATTGTTTGAGTAATTATCAGTGCGAATAAAATGAAAGTTGTCAAAAGTCAGCTAAAATTAGCATTATCGTTTCTAAACTCGTCTATACGATCAAATAACAACGTTTGAATAAATTTTCGAATATGAATTTCCTCATTAGCTTTATGTAATTGCTCAATAATTATAAGTGTGGATATAAGTTTACCCAAGTAAACTACAAATTATGTATCGTTTGAGGTAATAACTGTTCTCATATTTGCATAATTCGTAACTGTTGACTTGTATAGAATTATTTCAGGTAGGAAACAATATTATTTCTATTTATTGTCTATCAAATGTATTTTATGATGTTTAGTTCTGTGATTTGATGTGACTTTCTTGCGTAATTTTTGTGAAAATATAAATTCGTACTGAATAGTTTCCCAATTATAAAAATATTTTATTAGATCTTTTAAGATTTTTCTATGTTATTATTAAAAAGTTTGATTTTCAAGTTGACTGATACTGTATGAGTACAAATGCCCCCAAAATACTCAATACTAAAATCAGAAATTATATTTGCAGTAATGATTATTTATAAATTCAGACTACAATTGTGTTTGCAGTGCTATTTATTTATTTATCTAATTTGTTTATACATTAAGATTATTGTTATCATCAGTTTTTTACTCGTTACTGTAATATATGGAACATTTTTGTGATCAGTCTAAAGCTAGTAAGTTCATTTATTGAAATGATGACTGATGATAAAATTAATGTGTAGTTTTTAATTTAGAATCTACAAAAACTTCGCGCAAGACCACAAAACATTCAAGTATTCAAAGTGAAATTTATTATTAATCATGCAGAAGATATAGTTCAATTTTGCAAATATTAAATATGCAAAAATTGTTATTAAATAGAAACATATTTGCAATTTGCATATAAAATATGCTAAATAATACTGTGCGACTAATTTTACGGACGTTGATAATTGTCGAAAAATTAAAAATTCTGTAGTGTTACAAATGGTAAGAAGCAAAGTTACGAGGAAGAATAGTGCCAGAAATTTGCAAGGTAACAAAGGTAAAATCTGTGGATATTGTAACAGAAATGCACAAGAAATTTTGATCTAACATTTCTGAGTACTGTCCGAAATCAGACTAAGTGAAGGAAATGCTTGCAAAAGTACTGCCCCATGGCAGGCTCGAACTGCCGACCTTCGCATTTCTTGGTTATTACACTTATAAGTACGACGCGCTAACCAACTGCGCCAATGGGGCTGTTGGGCAATGCAATTTATTACACTCTTTTCTATCTACTTATGTCATAAGCAGTTCATTTTTTTATAATAGTTTGATTGAGATTTTTCAAAATACATGTATAAACCGCTGTATATTCAATACACTGAATAGAGAAATACTGGAAATGATTTTAATTTCTTTGCTAATTTTGTAATTAATATTATTATTAAATTTTTTTGTAATCGTTTAAATTTGATTAAATTTTGCAGTTAAATGATTTCCAATTTCGATTTTAAATTTAGTTTTGAATTAGAAGCAAAGTCAATCACTAAAAACAGGAAATTGGAAATATGGAACTTTTCATAAAAACGAATGAATATTAATTATTAGAAAATATTAGTTGTCACAAAAATAAATATTGCATTAAAGCATTAGTTTTTCAGGGTACTATTTCTATTTGAAAAAATACTGAAGGAAGTGCGACAAATTTTAAAAATAAATTGCTAATTACTAATTAATCATAGCGAATTCTGAATATAATGCTCTGAAAGTGTTAAGACTGTACAGAAGTCAGTATGCATAACGGTATTTAATCTCGTAGTCTTTTTTGATTACAGTAAAACAATTTCAGTTTACAAGCAAAAAATGTGCATTTGTTTTTGGTAAGTGTATTACAATGATTTTAAGAAGACTAATTGATGAATTTCCAATTATAACGTGCAGAAGTTTTCAACTCTTTCGTACTGACTGAAGTAAAAAGCTGAATTTCAACAGAAACAAGACGTAATGCTACAACTTGAAGCTAACTTTTAAACTGAAAGAGATTTATTCTTCATTCAAATTGTTAGTTAAATGTAAAATAAGCTGAAAAACTACATATCGGCTATGATAGTATGTAATATCACTATATTTGATCAAGTGTTTCACAAATATAAACATTAAATGTAGCTAAATTATTTAAGTCGACCTTTTGACCTTATTATTCTATTATTTCCTTTTTTTCAAGTTCAATTATTATGCTAATTGTCTTCAAAAATGCCTCATTCAAGTGATTTAAAAAATGATTATAAAAAGTAGTCTAAAAGTTACAGGAAAAAACATAGAAAAATGATTCTAAAAAATAAGCATATGAAAAATAAATAATCATTATAAAAAGTGATGTATGAATAAGTTTGTTATGAACTTGAAAAAGGTTACTTTTATCAATGCTAAATTACTGTTAATTACTTTGTAGATTATTTTTAAATTAACATTATTTTGTGATTAATTTCAAAATATCTATTCTAGGCTGAAAAGAAGCTTGAAATTCTCTATTTACTACAAATATTTCAAATTAATTTCAGTATAGCACAAAATGGCCAAGAAAGTATCGAGAAAAAAATGAGCAAATATGCAAAACGAAACTTTTGCTTCAAATTTTCTGCAAATTATTTTTTCAAACTTTTTTAAGCTCTACTCACTTTGCATAATTAATAGAATGAATTACGCGTGATTTGAACTGACAAAAAAGATAACAAAATTATTCATATCTGAATTCTATAAAACATGCAAAAAACTTAATTAAAATGTAAAAATTGAATAATGTGTGTTATTTCATTTCTTATCTATTAAAATTTCAAATAATTACATTTCAAAGCATAAAAATTGAGCAATAATATTTTTTATTCAAAAAATTTTGCTAAAAATTTAAAATAATTTGTTATATTATTTTAAATTTTTTTTTAGCAAAATATATTTATTTTTCATAAATAATTTTGATAGATAATAATCAGAACTTTACTTCAAAAATTATGGCTCTTCAATTTTTAAGAGAGTACTGAAAAGTTATATTAATTCGGTTTTGATTTTTCACTCATACACTTTTAATAGATAAGCCATAATTTTTAATAGATAAGCTTTTTCAATTCAAAAATTTTTAAGAATAAAAATTATTCAAATTCAAAGTTATGCATATTATTAGCAGAGATTAAGTAAATACAATAAAATATTAAAATACAAAAAATTGTTGCAATAGAATTTTACAATGCACAAAATGTAAACTCAGTGATAATTCATTTATCAGTTTGGAACAGAAAGCAAAGAAATATTAATATCTACGAAATGTTTTAATTTGCATTTAGCGTTTTATTGAGTAATTTGAAATGAGTTTCTATGGAAATAAGTGTTAAAGTTTATAGAGTAATCATAAACTTAATGGCAAGTCAAAGTAAATTTTAATAGTAAATCAAAAAAGCAAAATTTTTTAAAAAATTTGTTTTATATTTGAAAAAAAAAATCTGCTAATTTTCATATAAATTTTCGTTCTAATTTTTATTAAAATTTTGATCATTTTTAAAAATTCAAATTTTAATTTAAGTAAATACAATTTATTTGCGCACTGTGACTTAATTATAATTAAAAGAAAACAATGGAAAAATCGGAATAGGAACAATTTTTGAATAAAATATATGTAATAAAAAAATACACCGCTTAATAATTTGCATAGTTTGAAATTTGTGAGCTATTTGAAAAAGGATTTATTTATAATCAAATTTTATGAATTTTGTTTTTAAAAATTTGCATTGTGCATTTTGAAGTTTGTCCAAATCAAACGATTTAAATTTCAAAAAGAAAACTTTGAAGTATTCTTTTACATTTTACCAATTTTATTTTGTTTAATCAAAGCTTCGGTAATATAATGAAAGTGCCTAAAACAAAACGCTAGTTTACACGTAAAAAAATTGCAGTGTAATTTTTAAATTTTCCAATTTTTTTGTATTTCAAAAATTTTATTTTTTTGTGAATTGTGATTTCGTTCTTTAATTGACAAAACATTACAGTCATAATTTCTGTCGGTCAGAGGCCAAAGTAAAGTAACCTTCGTATTACTAATTAAAATTTGAAAAAAATAGCCTTTTTTAAATTAAACTAAAAAATTACAGTTTTATTATCTCAATTATTTTTGCCGAATTATTCGATCAAATTTTATAACAATACTTTTAGTAGAACTAAATTTTAAATTCGTTAACTTGTCAAACGCCAAGTATTTTTAAACTTCAGTGTGTTAATTAAATTACATTTGTCTGCAAAATTTTTAATTTTCTAACTAAGTCATCATTTTTGGATAAAATTTTTCATTACTTTTATTATTAATTGATATTTTTTTGTACTGTATAGTGCAACACGTAAATGACAATTGTAAGTAAAAAATAAAAAAATGCTTTTGGAAAATCCAACCAATTTAAAATTTAGTTCTACTAAAGTACTGTCATAAAATTTGATATATATATGCTACATATATATATGCTTAATTCATTATTAAGAAGAAGATATCGCTTAGACTAATTATTGTTTATAGAAAAGTTTCGATTCAATTTTAATTTTGTCATTCTGATCAGTACTTATTAAAGTCTACTTTTTATTTCTTTACAATTTACGTCATTGTTAAGTCAACTGAAGCTAATTTTGGTATCGTTTTAAATTTAAAATCTAGAAAAATTTTAAATTAAGATGCAATTTTTACTTTGTTGGCATTTTTTCACTTATTATCCAATACTAATGTAATAAGAAGATCAAGTGTGCAAACATTAATTCTCAAATCATAACAGTTTCAAAAATTAATGAAATTTTCAAAATTTTGAACTCAAATATTTATGCTCTAAAATTACTGATCTTCGAGAACAAATCTCCAAGGCAATACGAAACAGTAAGTAATAATAAAACTCACTTCAATTTTTTCAAATTAATAATAGTTTGCAAATTTAAATTCAAACCATCACTTAAAATGTATTATTTATCAGTGAAGACTTATTTTGATCAGTTTGAACATGCAGTATTAATTAATAGAGGCGAAAATTTTGAAGTCAGAAAATTGCTAACTAATCTCACTTTTTATTTCATTTAAAGAAAAAGTGTAAATTGAAAGACCAAAATGAATCATTTAAAGTCTAAAAGCAGAAAAATAAAATAAAATAAAACTCTGCAAGCTATTCTATTTTAATAACTAATTTTTAGTATTTATAGGAAGTTACAAAGCATTTTTATACGTTTGTCATTTTTTATACGAAAAAGAATGAAAACGAATTTGACTAAAATTTTCAATTGCCTACAAATGTAATGGAAGTAATAATATCTGTACATTAGTCAGAATCTAATTCAAGTTACTAATTATTGGATTAACATTAAGCAAATTACTTTCTTTATTCGTAGATTGCAGTACTCTTTTTTCGGCATTTTTCAAAAATTAATGTAATTTTAATAAATATTCATTTCAATGTTACAGAAGTACTATTATAGTTGATTAAATTTTGCTTTCCACAAATAACTTACAAAAAAAGATCCTTGCTGAGAATATATTTATGTCAATTATTTACTATGATAATAGTTTTGAAAAAATTTGTTAGCCATATTTTTTCAAATCATTTCGAAAAATATGATAATCAAGTATTCAATTTACTGATCACATTCGAATCATCTAAATATGTTAATAGTATTTTATAGATGAGTTTTAGCCAATATTTAATTTTTTCCATTATTTTAAAAATTTTTAAAAGCAGATTTTTTTGATACAAAAATTTATTCTTCGTTTACAACTGAAAATATTTTAAATAGAAATCACTTTAAGCTATTTTTGCAATAATTTGATTAAGTAATACATTGAATGTATGATTGTTTAAATCAATTGGTTCGTTGGATAAATCAGTGCAATTTTTGCTTGCTAACTTGAAAATTGTCAGTGTATACACTTGAAAGAATTGAAGTATTTACTTAAGAAGACTGAAACATCAGTTGGCAGTAAGCAGTACTGCAATGCTTTCAAATAATAAAAGTTGAATTTTAAAACTGCTAAATATTTAAAGATTGATTTACTTTTAGTAGTAGTAAAGTATAAAAGTAAAAGGTAGGCAGGCATCGAGAAGTAACTGAAAAACTAATTCATCAGTGTTTTTGTTTTTGCTAAAGCATTTAAACTAGTTTAAGACAGCAGAAGGATGAGATGGATAACAATTTGTGTGAATTTGTTGAATTTCATCTCTTTCACTTTAATATTTTCAAACAAATTTACATGATTTTCTTGCTTTTAATATTTATCTGATTTTTTCATAGCTATTCATTGCTTGTAATGTTTGATCAATATTAGTAACAGTGACAGCAATAATAAATAATTTTCAATAAACTTAACAATAATAATAATAATAATAATAATATTTACTGCTAATAAAGTAATGCAAACTAAAACTGAAAAGTGAAATTAATTTTTTGCTTTTTTCAGATTGCCAGAAGAATAAATACAGTTAAATATGACCAATTCTTCTGCAAATTGTGCTTGTTGTGCAATAAAAGTAATTAATTCATTTTCATTTAACTTTCAGAATTCGAAAAAAATTTGTAGTTTTACATTTAACATAAATAATTGCTGGATGAGCAGAAAAATTGAAATTATTTGCGAGAATTTTGATAAATGAGTGTAATAATTAAGAGTAAATAGGTATTGCTTATTTATGTTGTGTTTAAGATGACAATTTTTGTAATATGAGAAACGAATAATGCTTGAAGAATTAGTCTAGCATTTTATTTCAAGTTATTAAAAATGATGCGAATAGAATAAATTTGGAATTTGAATTAAATGATTGTTTAATTTTGAGAAAAATTGTGCTATGTTCATTTAAACTTCAAAAATTTTGAAAAATTACAAAATTTAGTCATGAATTTTATTAGCTAATGTATAATTTGCAGGTGGCTAGTGTAGTGGTGGCAGTAGTTGAATTTCTGATCTGTTTATTATCGGTATATGGATTGATCAGAAATTATCAGATTTTTGGAGCTTCTTATTTGCTTTGGTTTATTATTGGTTTGTGATGCGCATTGTTATTAAAATTGCTTTGATTGAATTAAATTGTCTTTGATTAATTCTGTTCAAAAATTATCTATGAAATCTTGTAGAATAAACATTTAATTAACCCATTTGATTAATCAAATTGAAATATGCAACAAAAAAAGTGCTTTTTTTCCTTTATTATTAAGATTAAATCGTTAAGCAAAACTGGATAAGTTCCAAGAATTTCTGTAAAAAAATTATTTTTAATTCATTATCCTTAAGTTTTTGATCTCTGTCAAATTGTTAATTTGAATATTAACTTAAATTTGATCTCTGTCAAAATATTAACTTGAACTAAATACTAATTTAGTTCATTTTTCTTTTTAGGTATTGTAAGTGTCGTCATAATTTTGATAGTAATTGTACTGTTACTGTATGCTATCAAAACTGAGAATGCTCGGTTATTGGTACCACATTTATGTGTTCAGGTTTGTTCAATCTTTTTGACTTTTGAAAATAATGAAAGTTAACAAAAAATATTAAAATAAATAAAAACTTTTGCTTAAATTTTTTCATCAGGCAAGAAAGTATCAATTACAACAAATTACTTAAACAGTAATTGTCTGAAAAAGTATAATAATTTAGTAATGATTATTGATAGTGTAGTAATGAGGTACTGACAATTAAATTCATAAAAAGTTAATATTTACTAACTAATATTTAAAAAGTAATATATTTTCAAGTTAAAATACGTAATGTGATTAAGAACAACGCACAAACATGCGTATTTAAAACTTGTAATGAAATATTTCACGTTAAGCTTAGCATACTTTTTTCGTACATGCAATTGAGTAACGTGAGTTGCTACTTGACTGATATTGAAATATTTTGATATAGTAAAAAAGAGAACTTATTTTTAGACGTTTTTATTTATAATAGTTAACAGCTGCGATCCATCATGTAGAAGTCATTTATATTGAATATTATTATTATTTGCATTCAAAATTCGAACAGATAAATTCATACGCAATTTTATTCTGGTAGTAGAGATTAATTAATGATTTAGTTTCCAAGTGAACAAGAATATGTAATGTAGAAATGAAACTATGACTTAACACTTCAATAACTTGTCAGGAGATTAATCGGTTGATTGATTATTATTTTATCAGCACTAAATGAGATATCTTCTGATATCTGTTCACTTTTACATCAATTACTTTCATATCAGTTACAACTAGTAAGCAAATTTGCATACTTTCAGGGGCTCGCATAGATTTGTTTTATTAACAATTATATCTTGCTTAATATTTTTAACTTGATAAAATTTTATTTTAAATTGTTAACTAATGTAGTCAACATTCAGTTTTCATCTCAAAGCAATTCTGATAAAATTTGCATAATACTTCTTATGTTTTACAATTACAATGTTGTACAAAGTAAGGCATTATTGTTGTACAAACTGAAATCTTTAATATTTTAACTTTGTTTGTACTAAATTATTTTGAGTAAGTTTTATGTAATTTGAAATTAATTAAAAGATCTTATTCCAATCTAACTTATTAAAAAAAGTTCTTATAATCTAAAAATTATTTATAAGGTTTCCATATACCTATTTAATGGTTCTATCATTTTTTTAAAATTACTCTCACCACAATTTTTGTAAAATCCACAACATACACACAGCTTTTCTTTTAATATGTATATATTAAATTGTTTTTTCAACATTTTCAAAAATTTTTAAATTGACAAAATACCTTGCAATATTTATTGTGCAATATGCATTACCTTAATTTGATGAGTTAATAATTTCAGCCATATATTTGCTTAACAATTTCATTTATGCAAATTCGCTCGTAATTATTTTTGTCAATTATTGTGATCACAAATTAGTTGATTTCAATCAATTACATTATCTCAAAAATATCTAAAAATCACTACTTATATCAGAAATTTTTCAATGAAACACATTTTTAATTTGATATTTTCGCCATAAAATGCTTTTAGAAATGTGCTCGTATGTTCCATTCAAATTAGGCTTACATTTTAAAATTCATTACATTAATATTTTTTTATTAAAAATTAAATATTTTTAAACTTTAATGTGTTAAAAACAATGCAATAAATGGCAAAAATATAAACTTTTCTATTTTTTTTGAAAAGATTTTTTTATTTACAATATTTCATTATTCAATCTTTTAGTAACTATTACAGATTAGTTTTAAAGTAAAGCCTCAATTTATAAATAATATTCTCCTTCCAACAGAACACAATTTGAATTTATTTCACTGATCAAAAATGATTGATTTTATTGATTCAAAAATATTTCGAGAAGATCTGCTTGGAAGTGAAAATAAATAAAAGTGTAAAACTTGCGGGCTGCGTCATTTCACGTGAATCATTTAGCAATATCTTTTGCTCACAGAACCAGCTGTTTTCTAACATTTCCCAACGTTTTTTAATAAAATCTTTTTTGTTTTTTGCTGTTTAAAATATTTGCTCAAAAAAATGACTTTCTGAGCTAAAAATGAGAAAAAATGAATAAAATGCTCATAATGGCATAATGAAAGTTAATAATTACTGAATGTCAGAGAAGGAATTGAAAAGTAATTAAAAAATATGAATTCAAATATAATTAAAGTTCATTTATGACACTTAGAATCATATTTTTGTTTTTCTGATAAAAATAAAAAATCACAGAGTTAAAAAATTATTTTATTTTTATCCAAATATCATTTGAATGCTAAGTGATACAAATCTATTACCAATTTTGATAAAAATAATTATAATTAAAAATTTTCACTTCTAATTTTAATTTTTTAAAATGTATTTAAGGTATTTTTGATATTATTTTTGATTATCGTGGCGCTCGTTGTTGCGCTATTACTACTTTTTGGCGCCTATCGTGGAATTCGAAATCTTCTCGGCCATGCAAGCTATCATATCACTGATGAAGGTTATTTTTTAAGATAAATAACTTTTATTAAAGTATTTTGTCTTTTTATATTCAAATAAAACTTTTAATTAATTTTTTGTTAATTGCAGTATTCTCTCAATAACTTTTTTAAATCCACGAAACAAAAAGTTTTTGAGCATTTGACCTTATGGAAGTGATTAAACTGGTAATAAGCAATGCAGCATTAAAATTCAAATAACAATACAAAAAATTAATGACGTAGATCTAAAAAATTGAGCTGTTAAAATAATTTTAAGCTTTTCAGTTTCTTTAAATAGAATTTTTTTTTAAATGAACCTGTGAAGAGTATGAAAAGAAATTTGCAAAACTTTTTAATTAAACAATCAAGAAAAGCTTTTGTTTTTTCAAAGTTAATTGCAAAGTTGAAATATCAAATCAGTTCTGTACTTTCAAACTAGCTATTAATTGCTAAGATTTAACTAATAAACTAATGAAAGTAGAAAAAAAATACAATTCTAATAGTATACAAAATTCAAAATATTTGACTGAACTCATTTCAAAACTATTAAAACCTTTTCTGGAAATTTTCTTAGATCGCGCTTAATTTGTCTTACTTCACACCATATAATTTCAAGTAATGATAATTTCAGCTACAGAAACTCTTGGGTACATGATAATCGCAATATATCTTGCACTCGCAGTGCTGGAAGTATTGTTTCTCTACATTATTTATAAACTCTACAGGTAAAGTATTCAAATTCGTTTTTTTTAAGCATTTTAAATTAATTTATAGCCACCAAAAGGATCAATTTCAGTATTTTGATATAAGGTACAGTCCAGTTATTAAGTCTTAACATCATTTATTTATGCAGTTTTCAGTTTATGCATAATTTTGAAGACTAAATAGTTCTTTCTCCAATGTTTCATTTGCTTTGACGTCAGGCATTCAATATAAATAAATATCGTTTGAGTTTTGCAGAAGTTTTTATAAAAATAGACTGTTATCATCCTCATTTTCCCCTTTCCATTCTATTTTCAGTGATTTATAATTTCAACTAGTCGTAGAGATTTGCTTGGGATTAAGTTTGTTTTCAAATTAATAAAAGAATTCTATAAGAGTGCTGATTTGAAGTAATTAAGCTTTAAGAGTTTCATTATTACAAAAAATATTAACATATTTGAAGAATACTTGTGAAGAATAATATCTGCATTTTGTTATTTAAGAAAAGTATGTAAATTATTTGCTTCAGGTACTTGACCCGGTATTATTTGATCGGATCGGCTGATCCGTTCACTATGAAAAGTCATCATCACCGTATTTATTCCCCTACATGGCAGATGCCACCGAAAACAGCTGCTTTTGGAAGTGGATCACCTGATTCTGGTGATCTGTACCCTTACAGTCCGTGAAATTTAATCCCTGATGCATTAATTTGCCAGTAATTAGCTGCTTCTCGATAATAAATTGTAAGCAAAAAATTTTTAAGCTTATTGTTTAGAGTAAATACTACTTATTTAGAAAGATTTAATAATCGATTGATCGGTCAGAAAATTTTTTTAAAAAAAATTTGACATTTTGTAACTGCAATTATCGTAAAAAAAAATGAAGCAGACGATTTGCAATGTCATTATTAGCCTTACTTCAACTTGCGATTCATTCAGAATTTGACAGAAAGAATAATTCATAATCAACAAACCTAAGTTATTCATGTGGGGGTCAAATCTTGCTTTATGCTATCCAAAATAATAATCAAAGAGCACACTTCTGTAAATTCAGTTGGCATAACTAATATAAACAATTCAAAATAAATAACAGAAAAGTTTGTTAAAATTTACTTTAACTCAATCACTAATTTTTTTAGATTATTCAAGGGATTTTTGACTAAATTGTTTTACTCGTTAATATTTTGCTAATATCAAAATAAAATTGTTTACTTAAATGCAAAATTAGCAAAAACTTGTTTGAACATTACACGATATGAATTGATACTTTTACAACATTTTTTACCTTACTTTTTAAATTAAAATCAAAACTCACTAAGTATGTTTGTTTTTTTTCAGTTTTTCGAGCGCTTAAATTGTAAGACTATTTTAGCATACAAATGTTAAGTAATTTGAAATATGCTATCAAATGCATTCTGTAACTATTTAAAATGTGAAAAATGATTCTATTTCTGTTCAAAGTTTTTTAATGAGTGAAAAGAATCAAAATTGCTGCACATTTTAAAAAGTTTTGATTCTTTTCACATTTGATCATTTATTTATGTTTAAAAGAGAATAAATAATCTCAAATCACGACTTTTTATCAAGATTTCAAAAATCAAAAGATAATAAGTTTAGTTTAATTTATTTATATGAAAGGTGAAAGTTCAAGTATAAAAAACTTAAGCGTTATTACAACAACATTTTAAAGACTTCAGCGAATACTTTAAAAATTTTCATTATATTTATTACAACTGCTTGTTATTCTTTACTTTTAGTGAATACTGTCATTAATTATGATGTTAATATACAATATTTATCAGGGTAATTATTAATTATAGTCTTTATTAGCAAAACTGAATAATATGAATGTCAATATAATTTTACAAGTTTATAAAGTTTCTCGACGACAAATTAATATATTATAATCTTTAAGACTTCATTTTTGAAAACCAAAAATTATTATTAGTAATATTAGTCATTTTAAATAACATCATTGTACTTTTGTATATTGAAACCATAATGTTGATCAGATCAAAACTTTTGTCTGTATTTTGTCCAATTCTTTATACTTTTGCACAATCAGAATCATTAATCTAAGACATAGATATGAAATTATTATTTGTCAAGTTATTTTCTTTAATACAAGTACTGTAATTAACTGTACTGTATATGGAAGAATTACTGGATCGAAATATAGCAAGTTTTGATGGTGATTTGTGCATATGACTACTTTTGGTTGCTCGAATCTGTATCATTTCTTTTAAACTGTGAATACCAATACAATTTTACTTGTAATAATTCATTTTATCTGTGCTTATTTATTTGTCTTGTAAATTTGAACATAAATTATGTCTTCAAAAATATAAAAGTTCTATAATGCTTCAATTAGCATGTTCAGATGGATAATCTGATTTATAAAAAAGAACTCAGTTTTCTCACTTCTGTGTTTTTCAAAACTAAAACTTGTTTTCAACTTTGATTTTGAATGTTACAGTAAAGAATTACGCTCGTCTGATAAGACTGTTTGCATAAATTTTATGGTCTTTTTAGAATATTTTTGTCGTAACAAATGCAAAAAAAAAAGTTTCAACCTACGTTGTGTAATAATTAAATATTATTTAAGACAATACAATATCAAAATAATAATAATCAAAATAATAATAATAATAATAATAATAATAATAATAATAATAATAATATAAATAATAATAATAATAATAATAATAATAATAATAATAATAATAATAATAATACGTAAATAAACTAATAAACAAAGCCGTAAATTTAGCAAAATTGTATCTCATTTGTTGTTGCGCAAAATGCATTTTTTTTGAAGCACTTGCGAATTTAATTAAATACTACTTAAGGCAATAAAATAATCAAAATAGTAATCATAAATAAACTAATTAACGAAGCCATAGATTTAGTAAAATTGTGTCTTAGTTGTTATTGCGCAACATGCATTGTTTATTGAAGCACTTGCAAATTTGATACTTTTCTTGCACACAAATATTCAAATATATGTTAATGTTTTTTCCAAATGTGCTCAGACAGTAGACAATGTCACTTGACCTTTCCACTTGACCTGTAATCTGTAATAGACCAATTTTAGACGGACCAAAACATCTGGCCCAATTTTGTATTATGAACACAGACAACGTTTTCAAATAACAGGAAACAGCAGTGAAAAAGAGCACATATTTTGATTTATTATTTTAAACTACAAATGTTAAAAATTATGCTTAAATGAAAAATCACTTGCTTTATGCTTATCACTTTATCAAAATTCTGCAACTAAATTCACTGTCAAAAGTTATATTTTTAAGTCATATTTACAAGTTTAATTTAAAATTTTAAAGTTGGAATAAATTCAAATAATCTAGATATTGATGATTTATACTGTTAATTTTTTTCTAGTGAATTTTATCAATCAGTAATATAAATGGTCAAATACATGCATGCATGACAGCTATACTGAAAGCTACTTTTATTAATAATCATTTTTTCCTTCAATAATCGCCTCAAAACTATCAAAAACAATAAATCATAAATAATTAAAATTAAAAAAATTTGAATTTTGAATTTAAATTATTAATTTTTGTAATAAAATTCAAGGGGCTTCGATAATTACAAATTTGATTAATTCTTTTATTTTGAATCGTCCAAAACCGAGAAACTTTTTAAAATTAATCAAACTGTTTTGTTTTATTGTATATACAATTTACCAAATTTGTATCATTTAAGAGCTAACTCCAACATACTTTCATTGTTTTCCAATTCAAATTGAAAACGACAAAACATAGAAATCAAAAAAGACAGCAATAGAACGTGAAGAAAGCTGAAATTTAAAAAATTTGTTTACAACTGCGTGTTGCCTTTTTTTTTATCAGTGATTGGATAACAAATGATTGTAATGAGATGAATGAAGTGAAGTGAATATGTGACATTCGTTCGTCTTCTAAAGTAAATTTGGTTGATCTGATTGTTCTGACCATAATTATTGATCAGATGGGAGGTCGTGTTATTATCGTAAGATCAAATGTCAGACAGATCTACAGATCTGGAATAAACAAATGGTACAGTTTTTTGATGATTGCTAGTAAAGATAAATTTTGTCTGCAAGCAAGCAGTTGAAAATAATAAGTACGGAGGGAAATTTTATGAAAACAGTAAACGAATGGTTTATTTGGCAAACATCGTTTATTGTTATCAAAATATGGTAAGAGTTATCACCTGCCCGAGATATCATATTTTACTTATCCTCTCGATAACTTCCATGTTATTTCCGACAATTTCGTTGGCACCTATAAATGTAGATGATAATTCTACTGCTAGTACTGAAAATGAAAGTAAGCTTAATTTAAAATCTATTAAATATTTTTTCTTTTTTTTTATTTTACAAAAATTTTTTCTCAAGAAAAAAAATTACAAAATCAAAATCGAGATTTAGAAAAATACAAAACAAACTCATTTTATAACAATTTTTTATAAATGTAAGGATTTTTGGAATTAATTTTTTGTTTTCTAGAGTGAAGTAATTTATACAAATGCTCGTTATGACTTTTTTTATTATAAAAAATACTTTAATATTTTTTATAATAAAAAAGGAATGTATGAAATTTTTTCTTTCACAAATTGTAAGAATTTTTTTGTTGTTTGTTTTAAAAACTTGTAATGTTTGCAATGTTTTTGAAACAATTTTGAATTTTCAGTACAAAATACTTCATTTTTTTATTTTTAAAGCAACGAGTCTTAAAATCTTACCAGTTTTATTTCAGCACTTCTGCCAATTCAATTTCTAAAACTAAAGTTGGTTAAGATAAAACAAAATATTTAAAAAATTTTCTTAAAATACTCAACTATTTTGATTTTATTTAAAAGTAAAAGCAATTACAATTTGTATCAGAAATGAAAAGTAATTGAGTACATTATTAAACTTTACTTCTACAACATAAACATGATCAAAAGGTGAAAATGAAGTTACTACAGACTGTCCTTCTGGCTGGATGATTTATAAACGTACTCAGTCTTGCTTTTATGTGATTAGGTCACGGATGACTTGGATGGAAGCAGAAAAAAAGTGTAATGAATTAGGTGGACATCTGGCATCTGTAGCTGATGAATATGAAGATCAGTTTGTTTCTGGTATGTTTATTCAATCATCTTTAGTTGCTTTCTAATTAATAATTTCAAACAAATTTAGAAATAAAAATAAAGTTGTAAATCAAATAAAGTTGTAAAATGAATTGCAGCGTTTTAATTTTCTATTGTACTTGATAGAGTTGTAGCACTTTTTAGCTTCCACTTCCAACTTCATAATTTAAATTTTGATTTCCATTACAGAAAGCAATTTTACAAAAATTTTAGATGTTGGAAGAAGTGCTAATTTATCAATTCCGACAATATGGCTTGGCCAGTTGACTAAAGTGGATGACAACGAGTTCTGTATATGGAATGATGGAACATCAGGAGTATACTTACATGAGTTCAAAGGTGAACTATTATTTAGTATTTGGTACTTTTTTCAATTGCAGTGCCATTTTTCTTTTTAATGAAATATGCAAGTTTATATAAATGTTATTCAAAAATTTTTTTTCACTGTATTTTTCAAGTCTTAGTCAGTCAATAAGAAAAATGAATGATCTGATCTTAAATAGAGTTTTGATTAATTTAGTGCCAAAAGGATTTGCTATTTGTATGTCATTATGGGTTGATTGGTACGGTGCGGAAGGATCGTGGAACGATTGGAGCTGCGATTATCCTGCAGGTTTCTCGGCTCTCTGTAAACGAAAATGGAGATCACAAGGAAATCCAGGAACTGAAACATCAAGTACTGTCATTTTAATGCTCTTTCTTGTAGCTGATTTTTTTATACTTTCAGGTTTCTGCATAATAAAATCGGTAATGAACAAACTGTAAATCACATCTTGTAGATTTCTATTTTCATCTATATTTCTGTACATCACTTGCGCAACATCAAATACTATGATAAAATATATTTGACATAACAGTATCAAGCATTAAATGACAAACTCAAAATAAAAACTGACAGTAATTTTTAATTAATTAATAGTTTTATTCGGAAAATTATTATCATTATTACTATTATTATTATTAAACTAATAGAGTAAATAGTAGTTTAGCTTAAAAAGTTGATTTATGATGATGAATGCATTTTTAATTTAAAAGATAGTATTTAATATTTTTAAGACTTATCGCAAAATTATCATAAAAACTTAAAAGTGCTTAAGCTTTTGATAATTTTTATCATAAGGAATTGCAGCAGTACAAGGTATAATTTCTCTCACAGCTTATTCAAGCCGTCGATGTTGCGCAGTCTCAACAAAATGCGCCGGAGAAGGCCAAAATCTTAGTTGCTTAGAAGGTGAACACTGCGTACCAGATGATCAGGACTGCGAGACACAAAACTGTCCAAGTACTGGTCTTGGATGGTGCTTACCTGCGCCCAGTGCTTAATTTTTTCATTTCAAAATGAATGAAAATTAGTTACAAATATAATTTATACTTTTTGCAGTGAGCTTTGAAAAGATTTCTTTTCATCTTTTTTTTCATAATTCAAATTTTTGTCTGGATAAATCTCATTCATATGCATTTTTGATGCACAACCAACCCTATAAGATTTAGCACAGAAATTAATTACAAAATTGATAAAGTCTGATAAAAGGTAGCAAAATTTTTAAAATTCGAACACTGTGGCCGATACAAAATATTAATTATTTAAAAAGATTACAGAATTATTATCATCTGCTATTACTGAATACAATTCAATCATTATGCATTGCATAATAACATATAAAATATTTCAGTAATTTGTAAAATGTTAATCCACTGCTATCAGTAAACAAAATTTAATTATTATATTATTAATGGGATATCAAATATTCCAAATCATTGTGATACATAATCGATTACTATCGATGAAATGATATCCATGTCTTAAGTCTTAAAAATGGAGATTTTTGTTGCATTTAATTATTTAAAAATTTGTGTGTTTTTTTAAATCTAAAGTTTACTTAATTTGTTAATTATTTATTCAAGTTGAATAGTTAAGTAATCAGTATTAAATCGCTTTTGATTCATCACATACTTGTTGATTTTTAATTGTTTTCAAAGAAATATTACTTTTGTTGATTTTTGTAGTAAAATAAATACATTGCTTCACCATTGTTTATTACAATTTGTGACAGAAAAATAAACATCGGACTAGAAAGTATGTCAATCTGAGCCATTTACTTTATTCATTATTTACAGTTTAGCAAAAAGATTGAAATAAACTATAGTTTAGTGCTCAGAATTATTATACATCACAATCTGACAAGATCTATGAAATTTGTACGTCAATTAAGATTTTAATCTCGTTGATTATTTATAACAATCATTGCTTGAAATTTTCAATTTTGGAACTTAATTGACAGTACTGTTTTATACAGTTTTGTCATATATCAATATCAATAGATTTGTTTTTCAAACAAACTGCTATCAAAAAATGTTACAAAAATAAGTAAACTCTAAAATATATGCCTGCAGCAATTTTTTAGTTTCATTTACAGTAATATTTCAGTCAATGCATCATTTACAGTACTCTCTTATTGACCTATGCATGTTATTAAATTTAGTATAGCGTATCACCTGTGTTGTATTATATCATTTGGAATTTGAGAGTTCGTTACACTAATAAGCTAAGACAAATAAGCATTGTATAATCAATTAACAGATATTCAACGTATTCATTTAAATGAGAGGGAAAAAAGGAAATTCAATATTAGTTCGAATTATTTTGTTTGCACAAATTTGAATGCAAAAGAATATTTGCAAGTTGTTTCAGAGATAACTGCGGCAAAAGGCGTCAAGTTTTTGTTTATAAATTGTATAGTACTCATTTACTCAAATACTACTTCACAATTATTGAAGTGGTACTTTTTCATTCTATTCTATTTTACATCAGAAAAGGTAAGTAAAAGTTGAATGTTCAGATGCTTTAGCACATTAACAATGCAATTTAATCTCTCACTTTCTTCAGCAATTTTTATTTTTTATTTTAAATTTTCTTTCAAAGAAAAAATTTATTATCGAAAATTAATACTTTCTTTTCTAAAAATGATTGTGTCATATTGTGTTTATTACTTAATCAGTTGCATTGTAGAAAATGTTGCTAATACGACAGAACTGTGTGTTCAGTTTGAGTATTTGTGTCCGTAAGTTTCTGGTAATGTTTGTGAGAATAATTTATTTTATGCAAAAGATTTTTAGTTACAAAGTTTGTTTCTTTTAATATACATTCTTTTATTTTATCAAAGTGCATATTACTTTATTAATTTTTAGGTAACTTTTATTCTTTTACTTTTACTTACTTTCTTTAAGAAAGTCTTCTCTTGTCTACACTTAACTCCTTAAATCCTTCTTTGTATCTATTTTTAGCTTGAAATTTATTCATTTTAATTCACAACTTATAAACTGAATTTTTCCTCTACAATTTTATTTTAAATAATTCTTTTATTGTCTCTCATTTTATTTCAATTCCATTATTTTTATTATTAAGTTCCAAAGTCTCACCATGAAATTGTAATCTATCAGTGCTATTTTAAATGCAAGTATTACTAAATGCATCAGAAGAGCTATTGCCGTACTTTTATGAACTTTATATCTTTTGAAAAAATTGTATTTAAGTTTTATGCAAAAAAAAAACTATAACAAAAGATAGTAAAAAAGTAATACCGTAGTAATGGCATTTATTAGTGTGCCTTTGAATGATAAACTTTGGATGGTATGGAATGTGAAGAATAAAAGCTACTTTTTCCAAAGTAAAGCTTTTAGCTCCTTGCAAAGTTAATGATGGCTGTGCTATCAGACAGGCTGAAGCTCAGACTTGAAATGACAATCGATAATTAAGTAAAATGATATGTTTACATTTGAGTCTGTCTGAACGGGTACACAACGTATATAAATGGCTTGAAAGAGCCACTTGAAATGAAATACTCAAATTGGAAATTCAAAGAACATTATTGATTTTGCTTAATTGAATAATTTTATAATCAATCTTTGTCACTATTCTCATAAAGTAAACTTGTAGACTTTTTCTTACTTTTCTAACATTTTCATCATTTAAGCTGAAAACAGTACTTCGTTTATTTTAAATTATTTTGAAACGTATAATAAGTTATAGAAAGAGATCTGAAATTTATTATTATTATTATTATTATTATTATTAGTCATAATGATTGATTGTGTAAGAGAAGCAAGTCCACTGCCATTATTTTGATATAATATTATTGTCACTATTGTTCCAATCTGCATTATTGTCATTTCGACAAAGCTTTGCATTTTAATATTGTATATGACAGTACGAGTCTTGGCATTCTCCTAGAAATAATGCTTATTGTAATGATAATGACAATATTATAATAATAGCAATGACCACTGAAATAATGATAAAATTGAAAAATCAAAATTAAAATATACATTAATATAAACCAATATAAATTAAAAAGTAGCATAATTAATTAAAACAAAAGTGAAACAATAAGATAAAAAATGTAACACAACAAAACAAAATCAAAATAAAGTCTTTGAATGGAATGTAAGAATACTCTTTAAAAATTAAATATTGAACAAGTCGTTTGTTAAACATCAGTAACAAAATAATTTCATAAAACAACACATTAAATCACTAAAAATACTTTGAGAAGACTGAATAAGTAATTAAAAAATTTTGTCAAATAATAAATTACTTTCGAAATTAATAAGCAGAAGGTATCAATAAGTGAGTGGCACAATAAACTTGGTAAAATGTTTTTTAGCATACATTATTATTTAAATTTTTTTTCACCTTATTCAACAATTTTACTGATTTGAGGACAAAAAAGTCAAAAATTCTTGTTTAGATATATTTCAGATATTAATTTTTATGACTAATTATTTAAACAAAAAATAATGCTGAAAAGCTTATTTAAAGTATTTTTTAATATTGAGTGGATACTGTAGAAAGTTTTTAGTAGTAGTATACGGTGTCTTGTCAGCAATAAGTTATTAAAACGATTTTAATGGGTTAGGAGCTTGAAAGGCAAATGGCGATGGTGAATAAATATTACAGCAAGAAACACACTTAATTAGAACAAGCAAGAGAAGAAGAAGAGAGGGTGAAAGTAAGTGTACTTGTAAAATGATAGAAAAAGAATGAAAGAAATGAAAAGATTTAAAAATAGAAAGATAATTGAGAGACAGCGAGGAGAAAAGCTTTCTCTCAGTCTCTAACAAACACATACATACATACATGCATACACACGCATAATTGTATGTATATGTAAGAATCTTTACGCATCTTTTCAGAACCTTTTCATAAACTTCGATAAATTTTATCAAAAATTCATAAAATTTATTCATTATATATATATAAAATTTGAAAAAATTATAAAATTGAAAAATATGAAATTTTTGGAAAAATTTTGAAGATAATTTGTGAGTAAAATCAGAATAATATATTTTGTTGATTATTGGTTGCATTCTAATTTCTCATTTTCATTGCAATCAGCAAATAGTTATGCTACAGTTTGATACTGGAAACAGTAACAATATTGGCAATGCAACGGTACGTTACTTCTTTCTGCCCACTTTTTATCCAAACTTTAATACTTGCAAATGATTGGATGTTTTTCGTTAACTCTACGCATCATTTTTTCAATATTCATATTTATTTTGTCATTACTGCATAGTTATCCAGTAATATACTTGAAAATTCAGAAATATTCTCAATATTACTGACTGGAAATTAGTTTTCAAGTCTCAAATTTATATTCATGTGTTTTGAGAACTTTGATAAATTTTTTCGTAATTTTATTATCACAAAATCAATACCGATATTTTATTTGTATTTATTATATTTGATTATTAATATTTTATTTGCTTTATCAATCAAAACTGCAACAAAGTTAACTTTTTGCCTACTTTTTATCCAAACTTTATTGAAAGTTTAAATAACTTTATCACTGAAATTTTTCTGAAATCATTTCATTATTTGTCGAAGGAAAAATTTTAATGCGTGACCGTATAATTTTTGTTCTAATTGAAATGAATTGATATTGAATAAATGTAGCATTCATTCAGAATGGTAATTTAATTGGTTTCTTACAAATCTATTAGATTTACTTTTAATATTAATATAGTTTAGATATTTTTTATTATTTAATAGTCAGTTATAAAGTAGTAATAGGTTAGTTTTATAGTCAACTCACAAATTATCTGAAAGTAACAGATATAGAGCTAAAGATGATAAGAAAATTTATGATTGTAAAGAATCTATAGCGCTTTATTTGTTACTACTTAACGATAAACATGAAACAGAACATATGAAAGAATTGGTGTAGTTAAGAAAGTGAAAAGTAATAGAAATAGTAAATTTATAAAAGATTACAAGTCTTGTAAACATCGTTATCCAATCAGGCGGGCTTGTCGACTTTTACTGTAAAATTCAATATCTGATACAGTATCGATTACAAATGTGTTTCAGATGCATTGCAAATAAAGATTATGTCTAATATGCTAATTCTTTTAAGCTGATCTTTTCCTCTAAACTTCCTTTGAATCTGTTAACTTTTCCATTGTTTAAAACTTGAAGAAAAGTTAGTTTTGAAAGAAAAACAAAAATTGCATAAACAATGTAGCGTGTGTAAGTTGCGTATGTATGTATTTATTTAAACCTTGAAAAGTGGTAAACTGATAGTTCAGTGCTAAACTGTTGATTGATTGTAGAATTTATTTTATACGAAAGTTTGCTAAATATTCTAATGGCATTTTTATCGCTAAACTTTTTTGCAGTATTTGTCTGACAACTTTAATATCTTAAGAATTATGCATAATTAAACTTGCAAATATTTTTGATTAAAATCGTATTGATGCTTTTAATAGATTTGTAATGACTTAAATATGCAAGCACGAAAATATTTGATAGAAGTAATGATCAAATTTCAAACCATTTTTTCACAACAATAAGTGCTAAAAATTTGATTTGAAGTATATAATGTTTCACAGTTACTTAACTGACATTAAATTGCATCTGTGCAATGTGTTGTAGCGAAAGTTAGAATTTATCCCTTACAAGTGTTTGTTGCCTTCGTTATTCTAACATTAAATCTTTTGTAAAAGTAAACTAACCAATATTGTACAGAAATCTGTGGTATATTTAGGTATATTTACATTAAATTGCTTTAAGTTATGTGCAAGTAATGATGATGTTGTAACAGTAGACCTCAGCTTAAACCGTAATTGTTGCGCAAGTCTAAATCCATTTTAATCTCAAAATCATTCCCACCTGTCATAGTAAATCTATTAATGCGTCACAAATAACGCAATCTTGAAATTACTCCAAAAACACTCAAATTATGCAAAAATTTGCCATGTGTGATTTGAATCAGTACTTTTGAGCATTTATGCAAATTTTTGCATAAAATATCACATATATATATATATTTGTTCGTTTATCGATCCCTCAAAAATCTTGCATTGCTGATGCTAGCAAGTTTGAAATTCGCAAACTCAGTCAAAATTTTCGTTCTTTTCATCAATTACGCAAAAACAAAAATACATCAAATTATTATGATTACATATGATCATAGGTAAAAAATTACTGTAGCAGTCTGATCATTGTATTTGTGCAGTGATATATGTGTAATCAGTTATGATAAATTACTGCTATATTTCTGAAAAGTTAGAGATCTGAAACTTAAACAGAAGTTGTTTGTGTTGATTTTGGCAATCAAAATAGCAAGTAAATTGCTAATTTTATCTTCAGAAGGCAAAAATTTAAAGTCTGCTGACTTCTAAATCAGTACACATCCTTGTATTTGCATGAATTCACAGAATTTTTTCATTTCAGTATCATTGATTAACTCGAACTTAACTTAAATGAAGTCAGCAATTATACGTGAAATGATCATTTTGTTTAATAGTTCATACAATTACGTTAGATTTCTATGACTTTACAATGCGTAAAGAGCAGCCGAAAAGTAGCAAATGACGCATTTTCAGCAAAGATCTGTGGGATTATCAGATTTGAAAAGTTAAAACGGAACGAAAAAGATTTATAGTTGAAGCAGTAGGCAAATTCGAGAAAAATAAAGCACGTATCCAATTACAATTCGCCCTCCTATAACTGCTAGCCTTGCTTTTGCCGCTGCTGTAAATATTAATGTCCATTATGCCAATATAATAATTATTATTGTTATCACACTATATCAATAATAGTGACGATATAAATCATTATTATATACATTATTATATTATATCAAGAATAATGATACTTCTGTCAGTGGCAGAGGTAAATCGTAATTGTGTCAAACTAACCAAAGTACTCCTATTATTTAAGATCAAAACTCTTAGTAAAAATGCTCAATCACATAAAATAAACTTAACTTTTTCTACTCAAACTTTCTGGAATAATAAGAATAAATAAATACAAAAATTTATTTGGCTTAAGCTAACTACTAAATTATTCTTAGACAATGATTTCTATTGTTTCTATACTAACTTGATCCATTTGAATGCCTTCATCTTCGACAATAGCAATATATGCACAGCAGCATCATCCATTATACACATACAGTAACAAAAAGGATGCTTAAATGCTAAATTTGGACATTTTTGTATTGAACATTTTTGGCAGCTAATAGTAATGAAGCGTATTTAATAATTGAACTTTGTTCTTTTTTAAGGAATAGTTCTCTGTTTCGCAGTCCAGCAAAAAATTAACACAAATTTTTTGTAAAAATCTTCGGTAAGTTTGTAAAGTTCACGATCTAAGGTATCTTTCTCAATCTTTCTTACAAATTATTATTCCAAAAATTTTAATTTCATATATTATTTTCAAAATTATTAAAGGCATAAATCAGTGATAAAGTGATAACTTACTAGTACGATCGCAATTTGAATTATCCATTTACGAATGCTTTTTCAATTCAGACTTTGTTCTTAAAATAATTTCAAATTATTTTTACAAATGAAAAACTTCAACCGCAAACTATACAAGAACCAATTTTGTACTCAGTATGCTAGATAATCATTACTGGAAAGTTATCATTTGTGAGTGATAATTGCAACTTTTTCCTTCACATTTTTATTTACTGAAAAATCAAGAAATAATATTATAACTTTTAATGAAAATGGTAGCAGCATTAGTATTAGAGAAGGATTGTTTGCCTTAAACTCATTTCTTCTATATTTGCATAAACCATCGTTAACATCTGTTCATCATACTTATCCTTGTCACACATTTGACCCCTACTCTTCCATCATCTCATCGGTCATGTTCATTGCATGACTTTTCAACGAACTATTTATATTTTAAGCAAACAAATTCGATCATTAAGTGGGGTCAAAAATCTTTTCTAGGATTTGATGTGCACTGATTAAGCCTAATGGTGCATACAAAACTTTTAATTGAATTCTCACATTTAGTCAAAATGTTGCAATATTTTTGAGGTATTGAATTTATTTCAATTTCACACAACAAAATTTCTAAATAGCAAAGCCATAGCAATCTGAAAAAATTTGATGACATAATCAAAAATTTTCATTCTGCAATAATTTTTAACAAACTAAAGTTGTACAATTCATAGCCCTGCTTACACTGTTAACGTTCCTTCTTTACCTGATAGCTATAGAGAGGAATGTTTGTACTTGGGGCTATATTGAAAGGTTATTTGGAAGGATGCTCCTATATTTTTTAATAAATTTGAAAATTTTCTCACTTTTCATTCAAAAAGTGCTTTTGATTTAATTGAATTCATATAATTTAAATTTATTAAGTTATGTGTGTTTTTAATATCAAATTTATAATTATTTCTGATCTTAATTTAAAAAACAATTTGAAAAGAAAATACAAAAGATTCATTTAATAATAATTTACGCAGTGGATAACTTATTTGATCTCTTAAGGCGAACTCTTACACAATTTTGAAGTTAGCATACAGTAATTAAAAAGTAAAAAGATGCAAAGGAACCACTAATTAATTATACTATTCCAATAATTATTCATTTCATTTTTGTCATAACCTTTCCCTTGGAAAGATATGGAAGCTTTTGTAATTTGAATGGGATATACAAAAAGGTGAAAGAAAGACAAGTAATGCAAATCTTGAAAAAAATTCATCTGCAATTTTGGATTACTGAAGGTTTGATTGTTTCAGGGTCAAGGGTTAATTGCACTGCGGGGTATGAGAACCCCCGTAGTGGCACCTGTCTGTACTTATTTCTTTGTCATTATTTTTGTCTTTCATATTTCTATGCTTTTTTATTTTGTTTTTTAAAGTTGTACTTCTAGTTTTGTTTTTGCTAATTAATAACATCTAAATTGAATGAATACACAAGCAGTGCATAATTGCAGATTTCTGAGAGTAATTTACTCGTATATTTTTAGGATATTTATTAATTGGATAAAAACATACTGAAAACTCTTTTTCGACTTTGTCAATGCATAAATTAAAAACAAAAGTAATAATGTGTTTTGCATTTGCAAACTTTATGTTTGAATAAGAAAAAAGTTGCTCAAGTTTTTGTACAAAAGCAGCTTAATAACTCATTTTCTATTTTGTTGTTCAAAAGTGTAAGTTTTTTTTGAATTTTACAGGTGAAAAACAGTGCATTTTGTGTGTCATCCTCATCCAGTGATCTAAGAAAGTTCGTGATAATTAATCGCTTGCATAAATATTACTTATAAATCACATACAAAAGTATTTTAGCTACAGACTTGTTCAGTTCCAACAGTATTTACTGAAGTTGTTGTGCATATGCCGTGAAATTACTTTCAGTTTTTGGTCAATAAAATAAATTTACTCTTGGTTTTATATTAGTAAATTAGTAACTATGCAAAAAATAATTTTTGTTTCTAAAATAAAAACACTTAAATTATCAGTAATTATTAGTAAGCATGAAAACATTTCAAGTCATATCAAATGATTTTCAAAGTTTTGGTGCAAGAATTAATTTTTCCACAAATTTGCAGTCGCGAATCTTTGGGACATTTGGAACCCTCGACAACTACATTTCTCAGTACATCTTTGGGTTGGCCACAGTTATCGGATGGTGTCAAACCTGAAAATTTGGTACCAACATTATCGGAACGCCCGGTAACCCTTGGTGCTATGTCCGATGCTGCAGCTGCAACTGCAGCAGCTGCAGTTGCTTACGGTATTTAAGTGCTATTATCCAGAACTGATTATTTTTTTCATTTTAAAATTTAAATTTTTCATAACTTTCAGAGAAGTGTAATTGATAGTAACAAATAAGTAATTGTATTTTAAGTAGAAAAAGAAATTAAAAAGTTATTTGGGTTTTTCATATTGCTACTTTTTTGCACTACCTGGTTCTCGTCTCAGTAGTCTTATCAGTATTACTAATTTATTTGCTAATAAAAAGTTCAATTAATTCTTTTTTAATTTCAACAATAACTTATAATCTTGCATATTAAGTATAAAGTATGCATTCTTAGTACCAGTAACTAAATTAGCAATTTTCTTCGGCTTAGTTAAATAATAATTTATAATTTGTTGTACTAAATGCAAGTTCCTACAAATAATGAGCCAATTATAAAAGAAAAAACATAATTTGCATGTAAACAAAAGTCAAAGGTTAGATTGCGAAAGGCTACTTTTAGATTCACGCATAATTAGTGCTACACCTTATTACAATGGCGGCTACTCAGGCGCAGGTTACGCTGGAATGTATGCTGCAGCAAGTGCTCAACAAAATTACTACCCCGCGGCGTCATCGTCTCTACGCGGCTCAGCTGCTGCAGCTGCGGCTGCAACTTCGTTTCCATTTGCCGCTGCGGCTGCTTCTCATGCCTATTACAGTAACAATTACGTTGCCTTATAAATGCTAGAAATAGTATTATCACTATAGCACGGGCAGGTGTATAATTTCTCTGCAATTTTGCCAAGAAATAAAAAATAGACAACAAGCTTAATTACGAGGGGTCATAAACAAGTTTACAAGTTTCTTATAAAAACAACGTCAGTATTTAAGTTTTATAATAGTCTGTAATTAATGCTTTCCATTTCTGATTTTTTAAAAATAAATTATGCATTTTAAATATATCAAATTAAAAAATGCACAAGTTCAAAATTGAAAGTACAAAACGTAAAAGTAAAAAAGTAATTGCAAATCTAAAAGTTACGATCGATCGGAATCTCTTGTTATAAAAGTTTAAAAAAAGTAAGTGTGGAAAATGATTTTAAAAATTGAACTTTGACATTTATAAAGTATTTGTTTATAGAAATAATAATTTTTCCGTTAGGTTTCATTTTTATTTTTGTGTAATTGGAAAACCTTACGAGCTTTGATTTTGATAGTAATCAAAAGAATGATTTTTGTTTTTTCAAGAGATTCACTTTTGTATTGTTCTGTAATGATGCAAACTTATTACAAAATTGTTTCATGGAAAATATTCATGGAAAATATATAAATTTTCAACATTTTCCATGAAACCAATGATTTTCTACGAATTATTGATTAAATTAGAACCAAAATGTACACAAAATGTGTGGTAGCAAATTCATTGAATTAATCTTGTTAGGTAACGGCTATACATCCACTGCTTTTGACTATCCACCTTATCCAGCGGCTATGCATTGTTACGGCGGTCGAAGTGGCTACTATGGGTGTTCCATCAGTGCAGTCCCTTGCAATTCATCTTTTTATGTGAATTTTGCTCGTTTAATCCTTTCATTTCAATTTTGATTCTAAAATGCATATCAGTAATCGAAAAACCTCCTAAAACTACAATTAAATCCAATTTCAAAATGAAAGATTTGCAGATATTGATATGCTAAATTAACGAAAATTCCAATTTACAGTAATTCTTAGTAACTTTCAGATTATGTAAATTTTTGTAATGTAGTGAAGGGATATAACTTAGAGGTGCATCCATGTCTTAGCATTTGAGAAAGATATGACTATTATCTATACAGTTTAGATTTTGTTTCATCGCTTATTCTTTTTCAATATTCATTCACTTATTGTAAATCAATTTCAAATAAGCTATCATTAATTCAATCTAAAACTGAACTTATATACATATATATCTGACAAGAAACAACTAAATAATACAAGAATCATTGCAGGCAATGAATCCGTTAGTAAATGATCCAAATATGCCTTCTAATCAGCTAACTTCCTTCAGTGCAAGGCATGACATCAAAAAGTCGAGTTGGCAGTTTCATTTTGATTATCTATATTTTTGCTTGAGAACTGAACCATATTGAGAATCAAACTCTGTCATACAAAAGTACTGAAATTGCTTTGAAAAGACAAACGAAACATTCAAAAAATAATGCTAAAGCTTGCATGAATTAAGATCAAATTTAAATATGCTATAAACCGTAATATAGTACCGAACGTCTATTCATCTAAGATACTAAATATAATAATTCCTTCATAGTTGTTTCTTTATCAACATAGATGCCAGAGAAAATTTAATTTTTGTTTTTTTTCCGATAAAACAAGCAAACGTAGAAAGAATCCTACCGGTGCCAATACTCCAGAAAAAATTTATAAACGTGCTTTCATCTGGGAAATGGAAGACATTTGTGTGCTATCAAATTTTTTTTTACGGTCTGGTGATCCAACTTGTACTGAACGTTTAGCACACGCAGTTAATAGCAACGTGGACCGTTTTATTTCATCAGTCTTTGGTATTGATCGAAACGTGGTAATAAATTCAATACTTTAAGTTTTAAATCAAATTGATCAAGATTTTTTCACTTTTGGTAGTGAATTTTGAGTATATGACATTTCATTCAACACATTAGATCTATATTAGAACACGGAAAAGATTTATATTAGAACACGGAAAAGATTTATAATAGAACACGGAAAAGATTTATATTAGAACACGGAAAAGATTTATAATAGAACACGGAAAAGATTTATAATAGAACACGGAAAAGATTTATATTAGAACACGGAAAACTGTCGAGCTTTAATTTTTACTTGAATACAATAATATGAATAATGCACAAATATATGTGATGAACAAATAACAAGCCAATTGAAATGTGCAAGAAGTCATGAAAGTGATTGTGTTCTATGCATTTTTAGCAAGATTGTGAATATGTGAACATCGAAGATGCTAGCATAGATGATACTCTCGACAGTGTCACTTATCCGCTGGCTGGAACTGATTTACCAAGCACGTCTTCTGCGTGTAACACGGGAAGCATACCAAATCAAACACGTTTAGGCATAGATTGGATGAGGAAACTCGCTGTCAAATATCAACACATTAAAGATACTTATAATTCACTCAAAAATGATTCCGCTGGTTTGATTTTACTCAAAAATTATTACTTCATTCAAATTAGCATATAAAAATTTACACTTCTAAATTCAGTATCATTCAATTTGTAAGTTTAAACGTCTTGTCTTATTTTTTTTAATAAACAGTTTATAAAAGTTTGATGATGAAAGTCAAATAGTAGTCTTGCAGTTTGAAAAAAGTCCTACAGTCGTCCCACAATTTAAATTAAACATCATTTTATATATGTATATATATAAGTATATATAAATTAAATAAAAACAGTTGACCTCTTGACCTCTAATTAGGCCTACTTGAACGGACTGGGGCAGCAGAGCGAGCTGAGTTGTTAGCGTTGAAGGCAACGGTAAATCCGCTGACGCAAGGTTGGACGGAAAGTGTTAAACGATGTTTAAACCTTATCATTGAAAGGTATGTGATAAAATAATTGCATCTGATAGTACTCACATTTTAGTGATAAGTTCAGACGAAATTTCCTCATTTTTCTAACCTTTTTGACCAATTATTTCACTTTAATTAATTATTTATTCTTAAGCGCATATTGAACAATTTGAGTATGATTGTAATTACACTTCGAATAAATCAAACTTTGCAGATCGTCTCGAGAGCATTATGCAAATGTATTGCTATCAGGAGAGAATATCATTTCAACCTTAGCCAAATTATTAATTATGGAACAAAGCCCAATGATAGCAGCTGAAAATGTTTACAGTGTGACAAAAGTTGGAAAAGAAGCAGTAATTGACCGTATTTTAAGTCATTTTGGCAAAAAGTGTTCCTTCGTTATCATATCAACCCATAGAGATACTCATGAAATTGCTAAAAAGGTTGGTCAGTTTTTGAAAATTAATTTAAAAATTGTATACGGTAAATTAGAAATGCGCTAAATCAAACTGTATTTGAAAATTTGTTTAATTTTGCAGTATTTTGTTAAAAAAGGCAGCATTTTTTGCAGCAACAAGATAGGTAGGGCAAATGTAATATGCAGAATACTGAGCTGTCTATATAAACTATCTGATTATGCATTTGTTAAAATGTGAATAAAAATGTTGTTGTTAGGCGCAAAAATTCATAAATTTTTATTATTCTTTCAAAATTTTGACCTTTTATTGATTGATATTCTTAATTGTGACCTATTATTAATTGTTTTTGATCTTAAATTGAAATATTTTTGCTTTTTTTTGGAAAATTTATCAACACACAAGCAATGAGCTGGAATTTTTTGGTAAATGATAAGTTATGTAAAAAAATTCTTAAAAATAGTATTGTAAAGAATTGAAATTCTTGAATTAAATCATATAAGCCATTTATTTATTCTGACGTATTGATAAGTTAAATGTATACTAAGCTGTCTTTATCAATCAGTCCAAAGTACTCATAAAGATATTTATAATGTCAGTATAACTTAAAATACTCGCATGCAAAATAAATCACTATAAAAAACAGTTATTCAATCAGTACATACCATTTGTTAATGATAAGATCGAACAAAATTTTTTTTTGATCTTTTCTGATCTTACTTAGTATCTATCATTTCAAATTCTTTTCAACTACAATTATTGTGAATTTGTGCAACATGTCTTGGTCATTTTATACAAATTTGATTAAAACTATACAATTTTTTTTTTCAAAAATTACACTTTTGAGCTCAAACACTTACTTTTTTACTCTACGGGATAAAGGATATATTCATATCAGTATCATTTACTTTCAGGAGAATATTCCTTTATGGAAAGTGAAAGGTGTCCGTGATCTGGAATTATTTCACATAGCACTCAGCCATCATCTTCTCAGTTAAATCACCTTAACTTAATACTTGACCCTTGCAATGTATACAGTTCATTTGTTTGAATACATTGAATTTTGTCATGTTTAATTTTTGCTGTGCTTTGCCATGTTAATTTTTCCATAATTTATTAATTTTTTTGAGTAAATTATTATGCTATTTAGAATTGATGTGAATTGCTTTTATTTGCAATTATTATGAATAACAATTTTTTTTTCATATGCACTGTAATTGTCAAAGTATTATACAAATGTGAACTTTAATAAATTGTAATAATCAGCGAATTGGGCAAAATGAAATTAAAAGTGAATTAGAATCTCTTCGTTTCATGTTAGTTACAGTAATAATCACAATTTTGTAAAAGTATTATTCGAATAACTGTGCACTGCAATAGATCATTTTTTTATGATCATCCAATTACTACCATTAAAATTTTTTACCTTACATTTATTATTATTATTGTTATTATCATTATTACTGTAATAGTACTGTAGTAGTTTTTGCTTAATAACTCAAGTCATTGGAATTATTTTCAAAAATTGGAAATACCAGCTTTAGTGTCATTTTCGTTCCTTTATCTTACCTAAATGAAACCATTCAATAATTTAATAATCTTCCATTTTAGAAACTTTTATCGTTTACATTGATCCCCGTGCATGTCAGTATTCAAAGAAACATATCGGAAAAGAAAACTTAAAAATTAACCCATCGCTTTCACTACTTGGCATTGAAATTTTTCATTCAGCGTTAAATTAAAAGTGATACTGACGTATTTGATGGCTTAGACTGTTTTCTTATTCAGAAACGCTGGGAATAAAACTTTTCATTTTGATAAGATGTGATGGAAATCATTCAAAAACGAGAAAATCGAGAACTGAACGATGCTTGAAGGTTTATCGATGATTTAGGTTATAAACTTAGCTTACACTTTACTGCATCAAGCATTTCTTCAGTCCTGATCTTTGCCACATTTCAAATTGAAATTCATACTCTTAAAAGACTTAGAAATAATTTGAGACTAATTAAAACAGTGAATATTCAAAACACGAATGTTTGTTAAGAGGATTTGGAAGGCGCTTTTTGCTAATTTAACGTAAATATAAATTTTTTTGCCAGTACTATTCAGAAAGTTTCAGCCTCTGTTGATAACGCCTTTAAGGATTCTGTCATGATGCGATACTGAAGCCTTGCAAGAGAAATATATTTGCAAATGTTCACTGCCAAGAGAAATAGTATTCTGACCCAGCTGTAAGAACTTGACAGGCTGCATCACAATTTATTTCATTAAATTATTCTTAAATATTCTATAGTAGCATTTTTATAAATGTGATAAATTTCTTGCTGCTTCTTCGTCGTGGCCTACAGTAGTGCATTTCGTTCAATCATCGCTGAACTCTCATCACTTCTGAAACTTCACTCATATAAGCAACTCTTTCTAAATACTTCAATGTCAAGCATTCATCAATCAGCTTTTTCAGATATTGACGCTAATCCTTGTCACGTTTGAAATGATCATATCAAGAACTTTCATGACACAATGATGCCAAATTCAGATTTCCAAAGTTAATATTCCGAAACTACTTAAAGTACATTTTTTGAGCCATTTTGTGACCTACTCAATTCAATTTGTTGCATCGCTATGACAGTTTCTGCTATAGTCAATCAGAATGCAAGAACTGCACTACAATTACAGTACATTTTTACTGATAGCATTCAGATCAATCAAGTATCTAATTACTTCTGAAGGTTTTTTGGCTGGTTTTCTTCATCAACAATGATGACGCCGTAGGAGACATAAAGTGCGGCATCACTGACGATCTCTGGAACAATTCATTTTGCACTGTTCTCTGCAGCTCTGGTTTTTTTGTTCCAGCAGAATTTCTGAAGTTTGGTGTTGATGTTATGAATTCAGAAATACTTGCTGGATTTGTGATGCTAGCCATGTTAAAAAAATTTTTATCTGAATCCACATTAGTGTTCCGAGGACGCCACATGGATGAATTTCTTGTAGAATATTTGCTTTTGATCTAAAATTAAATTTAAGATTACACAAATTTAATTCTACTTTGAAAAAAATTTACAACAACTTATAGTCAAATAAATTTTTGTGATAAATTCGAACTTCTAAATTTTCAAGTTAACAAGTAATTAAGATCATGAAATATGAATTCTACTTGTTATTTTAAAAATAAGAGGAAATATTTTAAATTTTTCATGTATTGTGTGATAACTTTTGAATTAATTTAAAGTAAAAAACCAGGTTTTTTACTTTAACATTACTGATATTACTTTAAAATCAGTATTTGAATTCAAATTTTCAGTTTTTTTCCGATTAAGGCATGACTTAAATTAACATTCATATCAATGGTTTCCATATGGAGAATATTGTTTTTCATATAAATATTTTTCATGAATATTCATTCAGAGAAGTGAAGCACTACTTTCATGCGAGATGAAACAGTTTGTCGCATGAATCTCGGCGTATGTGATTCAGTCCCTTGTCTTTCATTATTTATATGGTTTTTGCCCCATTTGTAATCTAAAAATAAAACATACAATTTATATGAAATCATGACTAACTTCAGTAAATGCGTTTTTAAAAGATCAAATTTCATTGTTTTAAAGTTGTTTACTGATTTGATTTTGTAATTGAGACGATATAAATGTTTTTATCTACTGAACAAGAGTACAGTAAACGACAAAATACCAGTCTTGTTATTTTTGACGATGAGAGATTTCTGCTTGGAAAGATTTTAGATGAAATGAGAGGCAAAGTAATTCATAGAAAAAGCATAAAATAGGAAAAAATGCTTTAAATATATTTGTAAGCAATGAAACAATCAGGAAATATTATTGTGGCCATAATTACTGCTTGTAATTTAGTATAAGACAGTTTTTCAAATATAAAAAGACAATATGTATTTGCTTAAATGCAAGAATTGAATGATAAAAAAATAAACCTGTCTGGTTTGTTTTTGGCAAGTTTGTAATGTTAGAGTTTTGAATGCGCCTCGCAGAATATAAATAATTATATGGTGGAGAATTTTTATTTTGGTGTAGTTGTGGGGTAATAGCATTGTCCGTATGGTTTTCATGAGTTAACGAAGAAACGTAAAGAACAGACGAAACATTTTGCGCATCTGTTGATACTTTATTTGAATTAATTCCAGAATTACTCTTCAGATTACTATTTTGATTGCCATTACAGTGCGAGCTCAATAAATGTGAAGGCGCAAGATGTGTATGTTCAGGTTTTTGACTTAAGTATAAAGATCGAAGTTGTCGAACTGTTATACCATGGCATTCATGACAGTAAAAGACGTGACATTCCTCTAACTTCCATAAAGAATCAGCTTCATATGTATTTGCTTGCATGGAATCTGTGAAACTTTTTTTGCTTACTAAACATTATAAAATTTGTCCCACTCTAATTAATACATAAGCAAATAGTAAGAGTTTGAGATTTAGCTAAGTTAAAGTATCGATAGTGTATAAAGTTATTGGGTACACACAGAAATATCTCGAAATTTACAAGAATACCATTTTTTTTTCTAATTATAAAACTGTATTTTTCAGAAATTCATTCATTTCCCTTGATGATTAAGTGATTTTAACTGTAATTTAGTTTAGAAGCACCAAAAAAACTTTTGTAAAATTTCAATGCATCTTTACTAATGTGAATTTTTCAGTTGTAAATTCACGTAAATTTAAATGAGAACTACCGTCAAGCTTTCCTTTATATCTGCCCATGATTCTATACAATTTAAGCAATTTCCCAAAGACGTGCGTCAATTGAATCGACCGTTCGCTTCTGCTTTATCTTCATCAAAACTTTTCTTCCCATATACTTTTGGTTTATATGCAGACTACAAGTGACAAAAATTTAAATACGTTATCAAATTTATATTTCATGGCTGCTACACAGTTGTTTGAGAATTATGCAAAATGTTATGGAAAATACGTAATTAATTGCTTATCGAAATACAAATTAAAGTATGTAATTGGTCTTTATTAAATTTAAAGAAAGTTCGTGTTTTACGTGAATGGTGCGTAGATAGTGTAAAAGCTTTGAATCAAAAGGATATGTTTTATAAGCAAATAAAATAAGCAGAATACTTTAAAAATATCATTCAGAAGAAAGCAATCTCTGAAGCAAAAGTCTTCTCATAAAGTTTTTTTCTTTTTTTCTCAGTAACTGATGTAATCTTAATTATGCAGAAAGTTATTACTTAAAGCTTTTAAAGAATAAATATGCTTGCTAATTAAAGGTGCAAATTTAATTGGGAGTGATCAGCTGAAAAGCTTTTATTATAGCTGAAATTTAAATCAGAGATCAATCAGTCTCGAGCTGTGGCTATGAGATTAATTCTGTACTTGCTTTTAAATTTTGAACTTACTTGCAATGTTCAATTTTTATTTGTTTTTCCGATAAAAACAATATTTGAAACTGAAAATAAATTAAGTGTTATCACACGGCAAAATCACCATTGACCTTATCTATTTTTGTACTTGGATAATAATTTGCAAGTTTAGTGAGATTGGTTTCTGTGCATGGAAATTTGTTTATTTCTTGAAAGTAATTTGAAATAAACCTCGAAAATTAGTAATTTAATGTTTGTGATCAAAATAAGTTCATCTATATACTAAAATTAAATGATTGAATATCCTTTTTATGCCATTATTTAAAAAAATAAAAACTTTAAATAATAAATTTGATAATTGCAATTGTTCATCGGAGCAGACTGCTATAGTTGCTGCCTTATTTTTACATTAATATAAATTCAAAATGATTAATTTTTGTATGTCTATACTTTGTTTTCGAACAATAATTAATGCTTTTACTTCAGCAAATTAATAACAATAATTAGTCTAGGCAAAAAAATGAATTCTAAGCTTATATTTGTTTTGCTTTTTAATTTTCAAAGGCATTCTAACTTTAAGATTTTTTGAGCTTAAGATGAATTTCATTGATAACAACCAAATTTTTTGACTTTTCATGCTTAATACAGCTTTACTTGAAGCACTTTTATCTGTGAAATTTTTACTAAAATTTTGAGCGTTAATATTGACAAAAACACTCTGAAATCAGAAATTGCTACAAAAATTTAGTGCTATTTTTAATTTCAAAAATATTTTGCAGTAAAACTTTGCGTTCTTTTCATGCTCAGCCAGATAATTTTCAAACGTGAACTGGGCGTTTATTTTAATTTTAAATGTTTCATTTAAAATAAAAACGGTAATATAATTGAAATAAAATATTTAAGATATACTCAGTACGTTTTGCTTCATATTCTTCAGTAATGTCAAATAATTGCTGAATTATTACTATTCATTTAAGAATTAAAAATGATAGCGAAAGTATGAATGATTGTAGTCACAATGAAGAGTTCACCTAAATTACAATGAGGTCAATACAACAAATGCTATTCTTAATTGTTAGATTGTTGCGCATTGTAATTTGAAATATTTTATTGTTTATAAAAGTTTACAATGGATTCAGTCTGGTTTAATTATTAAATTTCATCTTCAACTTCACATGACCCTTTCAATAATTCCTGATAGGACTGAGTAAAAAGAACTGTAATTACAAAAAGATTGAAACATACAGTTAAATTATCAATTGATCATCACTTATTCAAAAATAACCAGTAAAATTTGCTTACTGCTAATTTTATTTCGATAAATTAAAAATATTTTTAAAAAATATATACATTTTGGATGAATTTTTCATTTTATGCTTAACAGTTTAGCGCCAATTTTTTTTTTTGAATTTCATTTTTTTTGAGCATTTTAAATATTTTTGAAATTGAATTTCATTAGACATGCACTAAATATGGTCAATTTTTGCACTTTAGTAAAAAAATTATCAGTAATGATTGCTCAGCTAAATTTGAATACAAAAAAAAACGAAATTTAATAAAATAATTAAGTCAAAATTAAAATTTAATTGCAAAATGAATGAAGAAAAGTTTTTTTGTTTATTTATTACAAAAATTAAAAAAATGAAAATGAAATGAACAAATTACTTTTATTTTGTAAATTCGTTACTTCAAGAAGTAAGAAATTTTTAAAAATTCAATAATTTTTTTTTTAAGTAGTAAAAATATTGCAAGACAAAAAAATAATTTCTGTGAAAAAAAGTTAAAAAGTCAATTTATTATGAATTTTGAAATTTTTCTTTTCATAAGTTTCAATTTTCTTTTAATATTTTGCAATTTTTGCTATAAATTAATGCAAAAATTGTTTTAATAATAAATAAAGCAATTAAGTTTTAGACGTGAGAAAGCGTTTTTCTTTTGCTTTTAATTTTTGCAAATTTTAAGTGAAAAATTTAGAAAAATAATTCTGATTTTGCATTTTTTTTCTTTGTTTTTTCTGTCGTTTCCCTTTTCCAATTTTTTTATACGAAGTAGCAAAATTGAATGACAAATTGCGTGTGTGTGTGTGTGTGTGTGTGTGTGTGTGTGTGTGTGTGTGTGTGTGAATATGTGTGTATATGTCCTTTTTTGACATCAAGGACACGTGCGCGAGGTGATAAACATCACTTACTTACTACCTGCGGGGCACATTGCCAACAAATTTATCTGATTAGCAAGGACAAATTTCATGGCCAAAGCAATGCCAAAATGACCCTTTTTTTGTTTAAAATTTTTGCTCACATTTTTTTCTTTTTGTTTTTATTTTTTTCTTTTGTTTCGTTTTGGTACAAAAATTAAATTTTGCCTTCTAAACTTTTACTCTGGCATTATTTTTACATTTTATACAATTTTGTGCTTTTTTTCTTTTTTTTTTTTGAATTTTTCGAAAATTTTTGTAGCAATTTTGTAGTGAAAGTGTTTTTTTTTTTGTTTTTTACTAGCAAAACTGAGGTTTTTGAAATCTGTTCAAGTATATATATATGTATGTATGTATGTATGTAATGCAGTGCTTATAAAAGTATCATTTAATATCCGATCATTTCAAAGTCTTCTTCTTAACGTACGTGTGCATACTGAAGGATCAAATTTTTTTTAATCATAATGCAAATCATTAAATTAAGTTTAAAAACGTGTTATTATTTCTTTTTTCATATACATTCAAAATTCTTTTCCGAAGATAGCTTTTTTATATTTGTATGCAAAAAAATGAATCTAATAACTTTAATTAAGAACTTGGCGGAACTAAGTTTAAATAATGATTAAGGGATTGAAAATTTGCAAAATATTTTGTAGCAAAAATTTGACTAGTTTTGATTTATTCTTGATAAATTGCATTTGAATTATATGCTTATCCACGAAATAAAAGTATGATAACTGATTCAAGACTTAATATTATAAAGTGGCGCTTAATAACTTTATGCAAAAGCTAATCATAATCACTTAATCAGTAATTGAAATAAATTAAATTACGAAGACTGAAATTGGCTCAAATATGTAAAGCACTTTTGATAAGTATAATTTAATTTGCAGTCAAAATCACGCATGACGTTGTGATCTGACACTCTTGTTAATTCAAGGATTAACAAAAATTTGCAATGTTTGTTCAAAACGACAATTTTTAATAAAATCAAATCATTGCAAATATTACATCATTTGAATTGTCTGTCTATAAGTAATTATTACTTTTATTCTTATTACAAGTACTTGCAGAATAACGACGCTTAACTTACTAAGTTTTGATTAATAGTGAAAATTTTCAAAAATAACTAAAATATTTACTCTGTTTATTATTTACACAGAAGATTTTATTATTATTATTGATATAATGGATTGAGTTTACTTAGCTAATAGAATACTGGCAACATAAAGTAATTAAAATGGTTAAATTTATCAATATCCTCTCTGTGATAAGTATTTGCTGATTTTGATCAGATTTTGTTCTGAAAAACTGATTAATTTTTGAGTTTTCTGTTAGCAAAGAATGATCGTAATGTACAAAAGAAGATTTCCCCTTAGACTTACTTCTATGCAAAAGTGTCGGTAGCAGTAATAATTGTGGCTTGTTTGGAAAATTCTAACAGTTATATTTAACATTAAAACAACTTGCTTATTAAATTAAAACGATACTTCGAACTCAACTAGGGATTAATTCAAGTGATTACAACTACTGATGCAAAAATAATTCAAAACTGTTGCGTAGAATGCTAATTAATTTATTACAAGTAGGAGATAAACAAAAAAATAATTAAATTAATATTGATTAACTAAATTCAAATAGATCCCATTATTTGAATTCAGCTAATCAATATTAATTTAATTATTTTTTATCAAAAATTTATGATTATTATTGCAATTTAAAAAGTTAGTATTATGAATAATTGATTTGGTTTCAAATTGCTTAATTAATTGAATAAATTATTTCAAGCAAACTTTATTCAGTATTAATTTGAGTAGTTT